ACACATACGCAGACTCACACACACACACAAACACACACTCACACACACTCACCCAGGACACACCATCTCTACATTCTGAATGTTCGACGATGAGGCTTGAGCTGTGCAGCAGTAAGGCTTTCGAACGACCGCACCTTGATGACTGACGGTGAGTTTGTTATTCGTTTCTGTTGCTTTCATTTTTTGTGGTCTTTGAACTATGAGAGAGAGAGTGTGCATGTGTTCGCGTGTGTGTGTGTGTGTGTGTGTGTGTATGTGTGTGTGAGAGTGCGCATGTGTCCGCGTGCGTGTGTGTGTGTGTGTGTGTGTGCGTGTGTGAGAGGGTGCGGATGTGTCCGCGTGCGCGCGCGCGTGTGTGCGTGTGTGAGAGGGTGCGCATATGTCTGCGTGCGCGCGCGCACGTGTGTGTGTGTGTGTGAGAGAGAGATGTGTGTGTGTGTGTGTGAGAGAGAGAGAGAGAGAAGAGAGAGAGAGAGAGAGAGAGAGGGACAACCTACGACCTGCTGTCAAGTGTGTTATCAGCACCAATCAGTTTCATATCTGATCCGTGGTCCATCGGGAAACGGAAAACAATGCGCGCACGCGCGCGCGCGGGAGAGAGAGAAAGAGCACTAACTACGACCCCCTCCTCCGCCCACAACCATAAAGGGTGCGCGAGACCATCGGAAAAAAAAAAAGGAAAACGCCGTGCCCGTGGGTGGGAGGGAGGGAGAGAGAGAGAGAGAGAGAGAGAGAGAGAGAGAGAGAGACCAACCTAACGAACTGTCCGCCTCCCCCCCCTCACCCCCACACGACAAAGTGTAGTATCTGTTTCGATCAGTTTCATATCCGATCCTACCCCCCCATACGATCAAGCGTTGTAACTGCTCTGTTCAGTTTCATATCTGAACCGTGGTCCATCGATGATTTTTTCTTTAATAAAAGAAAAAAAAGCAGGCACGCGAGCGAACGAGCAAGAGGGAGGGAGAGAGAGGGAGAGGGAGGGAGGGAGAGAGAGAGAGAGAGAGAGAGAGAGAGCACTAACTACGACCCCCTCCTCCGCCCACAACCATCAAGGGTGCGCGAGACCATCGGAAAAAAAAAAGGA